CGTGCAAGTTCCATCTTTACTTAGCACAACGCGTAATGATTGTCGAAATGTGCCTGGAGCACGAGTGCAGCTGTATTGGAGCTGAGGCCTAAGGGTGAGCTGGTTCAAATGAGAGCCTGAAAACACCACGCATTTGAGCTCACACTTCAATGACACGCTGGGCCGCCAGGCGCGCTCTCTTCGTGGGGACACCGCTGCAACGTTCGAAATCTTCGAGGCATTCAGCAACCATGATTTGTCTTTCAATGACATCGTGCCTGTCATCAGAGGCGCTGCAGTCATATCGTCGCGACCTTAGTTAGGATGGAGGTATTTCACACCATCGGACGGCACGACAGGGTGGAATCAGTAGCGACAGAGTATATACAAAATACGTACTATTAGTTATTATATGCAAGGACTAAAATGTGTGGAAACGACTGAAATCAGCACAGATCGGGAGCCAGGGATCCCGATGACTGAAATCGGTAAAGCGCCTCCCGATGCACTGTCCGGGGTGGCCCACTGAGTAGAAGCACCTAAAACAAGTGCATCAGTAAACTCACGGATCTATAGGCGGCATAAACTATACCGCCTATACCGCTTTTGGCCGGTATAGGCAAAAAGCGAATCTCGCAATTCTATACCGTGAATTATAGAGAAGTATAGGGGAAATAGGCTAGCCTATACGATGTGAATCAGGTCCCTATACGGTAGCTATACCTGCCTACACTACTATTCCATTGCATTTTGGATCGGTTCACACATTGAAGGATGGGGGAAACAGCATTCAATTTGCACATATTGTGCTCTACAGCTACATAATAAAGCGAGGCTCATGGCACGCCGCGGCATCCTCATCGTGACGTTGTTCACAGCTCAGTTGCAAAGCCCGTCGTCGTCCTCGACCATCCCACATCGCTCAAGCAGAGCTGTTCACAGTATGTGCCGTGGAGGCGACCTCAACACTACGTCGGGGTATCAGCACCGGGTCTCACAGAATATTATCAACGTACTCTTAATTGTTGTCCTCCTCGGCGAACGGTCGATGACTGGCATCATCTTCGCTGATGGGCCGACATCGTCCTTGCTCGATGGTTCTCCTGCTCGACTATGAAGAGAATTAGCTTTGGGACAAGCTGGAAATCGGGTGTACTTACGGAGTTCCTGTCGCCGAAGGGTCTTCGGAACAAGACGGCCTGGTTGCGCAGAGGGTTCTTCTTCTGCGTCCATGGGCGCTTTTGGATCTTCTGGCTGGCGGGACGGACGATAGACTGGATCTCATCGCTGTTGATAAGACGTGTCACGTCGGGGTTGGAGATCTTGGCAGTGGGGAGGCTGGAAACACGTTATTTAAGAACGAAAGGTAACAAGTATATTGAAACATATATGTAGTCCTTTTTGTGTGTTGAAGCCTTGTCGAAGGTTCCGAAAACTTCATCAAGGAGACTGAAAGCACTCTCAGTGCAGATAACAAGACGGCCAAGGTGTCCACAAGGCGGCGTGTTGGTCTTCTTGAACGATTCAGCGGCAGATGAGACGACGAGAGGAACCTCCTCTGCTCAATGCGGTGACCACGGGCGAGAACGGGAGAAGGGAAAGCAGAGGCAGCCAAGGCTGATACAACCTGGATACAACCGCGAACCTGCACTGGTTCTGGTTGACCTTGACGTGCCATTTGCGCCAGGTCTTGGTGGGAGCGAACATGCGACCATCGCGGCACATGTTACCAAAGGCAGCCTGTAGATACATAACGACTCTATCGTGGCAATCGAGGAGAAATACGCACTTGATCAACGGCTCCGGCTGATGTTCTCCTCGCCATTGTCTTGCCATAAGATGTCGTCGTCGTCCTGGGGACCGATACAATCGTCGTTGTAGCTGTCCTCGCTGGATGGTGCCGCCGTTGTTGCCATCTTCGTTGGCTGATGTCGTGGCGCGCTATTGTGCGCTAGTGTCGTTGTCCTCGGGTAGTGTCGTCCTTGGGCTCACGTTGTCGTTAATGTCATCCTCGGAAGCCCATGTCGTCTGTGTCCTTGCTGGCTGATAACGCTGCTGTCGCCATTCGGACGATGTGGCAGCCATCCTCGTCGGCTGACTGGTACCGCCGTTGACATCGTGCTCGCGGCTGGTACCGCCGTTGTTGCCATGACAGGACGGGCCTTTCTTGCGACTGGTTGGGAAGTAAAGGTGCGTAGGGAACACGGCGGGCTGAGCACGTACAGGGTATTCAAACATGGTGGTAGCACAGAACGAGGATGCGTCGTCGGTGGTGGAAGAGTGGTGATTCGATCCGTAGTGCACGGGTGGAAGCAAAAGCAAAGACGACTTGGAAGAAAAAAAGAAAACTGAACATGCACGTGGCTTCGTGTTATTGGTGCACGGACCGTGACCGGTATAGATTGGGTATAGAGGCTCGATGCATAGAAAAAACATGGAGTATAGGAAAATCTGAGCTGTGTAGGGGATCCGATCACCTTCCCTATTCCGGCTATACTGGCTATACCCTTCTATTGATCCGCGAATTTACTGATGTGCTGGGGAGACCCCAGGCCCCCGCGAAGATATATCCTCACCACCTGAACCCCGAACCCGAACCCCTAACCTCGAGCACTTAGGCTTCGGGATCTGAAGCCTAAGTGTAGGGCGCGCTAACGCGCGCCGAAGAGTCACCAACCCACCCTAACCTCCCGCATGACCGACCTAACCCAATCCTAACCGGAATACGTCAATCAGGACAAATTGCGCCACATTGCGGACCCTTCGTCCTACCAAATAAGGATATAGCGGGTCAGGCGCATCCGTCGTTCCAATTCTAGTTATTCCGTACAACGGGCACCAATTTTAGTTGTTCTTAGTTGAAGTAATCATAATTGTATCATAATAACTGAAAGTGGTACCGAATTCAGTCATTACAAAATAACTAATACTGTAGAGATTCAATCAATTCATCGGTCACAGGTCACTGACGACCCCAAATTGACAAAATGTCACACAGGTCACAGGTCGCATCGTAATCTGACGATTTCAGTAGCTGAAAAAGGCAAAAAAATTGTCCGAAATCATCCAAATTGGGGTAATTTGATGAATTTTTTTGCTCCGGTCACAGCACCTTCAGCGCTGCGACGAAATCAAAATTTCGTCGCGGCGGTCACACGTCACACCGGGTGATGAATTGAACGAATCTCTACAGTAGTACGGTTCTTGTCATCCCTCATAGCGACGTTCATCTCTCTGGCGCCGTTCTTGATGTCCAGGTCATTACTGTAGTATTTCGACCGTAGGTTCACAGGGTGTGACCCCCAGTGAAAACGGCGTCTGTTTATATCTGTATTTTACTGTTGTTCTGGGCGCGATCTGCGGATATCTGTAGTATTCTGTAAATGTCGTTGAATGAACTCACATTTTATCAACTTTGTGCTTCTCAACTTTTGAAATTGGAAACTCAAAGTAAGATTTCCAAAAAGTAAAGTCGAGAAGTCGAAATCTTTGAAAAGCCAAGTTGCAATCTTTGAAATCCAACTTGCAAATCTTCAGAAAGCCAAAGTTTAGACAACTTGGCAAGTCCATTCAGAGTCCCGCATCGGTGACATCATCGTCCCTCGTTCCTTTCCATCATCCTCACTTGTTCCTTTCTCTTCGACCACCACCATCGTGGCACCACTGCCACATCGCATTAGACCTGGGCAAGAGTGTCTGGTGTTTAAGTGTGCACCCGGTATCACACTAGAAAATTTAAATGTAAATTTCCTCGTACAGAGGTCGCTGGAACTTTTTATAGAACGAGCTAGTCTGTTTGTTCGGGGTTTAATATCTAATACTCGTTGATACTTCTGTCGAGCGTAGTGATTTCTAAGTAGAGCTAGGTAGGCCTGGTCCTATCGCAAGCTATTTCTGTATGTGCCGTGGGTGTGAGTAATTGGTCTCACTTCAGTTAATGATACAAGTGTTCCTGTATCTGCGTACTTGGTTCGAGTCTAATCTGTCAGTAAGCTGGATAGGCCTGATCCTATCGCGAGCTGTGTACGTATATTCTGCGAGAGTGAGTTGTTGGTCTCACTTTAGTTAATGACACAAGTGTTCTTGTATCTACGTATGCGGTCTGCGTATTCGGTCTCAGATTCGGTCTCGGATTCGGTCTCGGATTCGGTCTCGTGTTCGGTCTCGTATTCAGTCTGTATATCTACTCTGCGTATTCGATCTGCGTATTCAGTCTGCGTGTCCTGTAATCAACTCTGTATCGGACAGAGTTATTCAACCAAGTCGTTATTGGTCGAGTATTCTAGCTTGACTAGAAGAAGAATTTGATTATCTAAGCTTATGCTTACTTAAGGTTCACTCAAGACAGTGTTTTCAACTGGGGGATTCTTATTCATATGCTGCGGCGGCTCGCCTTTATATACTAAAATTCTACCTACTTCTATAAGGGGAAATTCCTTCTGCACAGTCGATAGCACAGTCCGCACAGTAAATGGCACAGTTGCACAGTCAACTTGCACAGTCTGCACAGTTGATGGCACAGTCGCACAGTCGCACAGTCAATTGCACAGTCTGCACAGTTAATGGCACAGTTGCACAGTCAATTTGCACAGTCTGCACAGTCTATGCATGATTAATGCACAGTTCGCACAGCCCGTGCACAGTTAATGCACAGTCTGCACAGTTGACGTACAGCCCTGAGCTTTCACATGGAAGAATCTATGCTGGTTACGGCTCTCTGGTGTAGCGGGCACATTCCAAGCCTTGATTTAATATTGATGTGAGGGAGGTTATAGGTTCGAGTCCTATGAGAGTCACTCACCCATCCCTTTCGACTATTTTTAATATTACGGCGTAATAACTAGTTCATTCGGCATAAGGAATTTCATGATAGTCATAGCTCTTTGGTGTAATGGGCATACCTGCGTCTCGGCTTTACACGTGGGCTGAAACAGAGGAGGTCGTAAGTTCGATTCTTACGAGAGCTAATACATGGTCAACCCATAGTTTTTGTTTTTGAACCTGCATGCCTTAATCGTACGGCCCTTGTAGTGTAATGGTCAACACACTTGATACATGTGTCCGTACGAATAAATTTCTCATGATCAAGAGTCATGAGTTCGATTCTCGTCAAGGAACCTCTTTCATAGTGACACGCTAATCTTTTCTGTTATTCCTCAGAAAATATTAGGAACCATTTTATATGCGTGACATATTCGCGGGGAACAGAGAAATTTCAACTGTCCTCAGTTGCGGAACAACAGAAAAGATTGGAACTACCGACTACAAGCGTAATTTGGCATAATAGTATAACGACTGATGGAATATGGAATTCTACAGATTTTCACTGCAGGGTGCGTCTGAAAATTATAATAGTACCAATGTCGAAGGCGATAAATAAAAGGCATCTCGAAATTATCGACAGGGACAAGACAAACCATGGAAGATAAGCACAAGGTGGGGTTAAGAAGGTAAGGGTCATCTGGCCCGTTATAAAAAATGACTCGAACTCGTGCGTACCAGCCAGCAAAACCTAAGAATGAACGGACGAACCCATGACCGTACTCATCTCCATCCCACACATAGTCCAGTACTCGCACCTTCCTTCCACGTGAGGCGCTGCGAGCCTGTGGTCTCATTAGAGGGAATACGACCCGTCTAGTGAGCTCGTGTCGAACGAATGCCTCTAAGAAGTGCACATGGATGCAAGATGTCGTGTAGTTCTTGGGGAATGCGAGATGGGGGACAGCCACGAATGACTGAGTGTCGACTTGACCAAATAGCGGGTCATCCTCTGGATGAATGGCTGCAGTGTCGCCTGCATATTGTTCATCGCCGAAGGGGCCTACTGTCAGGAAGGCGTCATCAGAGGACAGGGGAAACCCGTATTGCGTCGGTCGAGGCTCCGGAAATTGATAAAAGGAGCGAAATTTGGCTAATAAGGCCTCAAGAATAAAGGCGAGTATAGATAGAAATGACTGATTATGTGAGTCTAGGTACTCGTCAAATATGTAGGGCACTCACTTGGAGGAATAGATTGAAATTCATGAAGGATACGAATATGGGCTGGCGAGTGGAGTGTCACGGTTACAGTGATAAAGGTGAATTATGTTGATAGGTCTGAACTTGTCATGCTTCCGTACTCTTTGAAAGAGTGATAACGTTAGTGTTGCGGATCAGACTCCTTCATCAGAAGTCTCTATATCCTCTTGGCACTCGACTTCTAATTCAATTCTATCATCTATTTGCTGATTGCCTAAACCTTGAGCACCCCTGTCGCTCATCACTCCATGCTCCCGACTAATATAGGGAATGACCTGATAGGCCGCATATGTCTGACGGAGGGTAGTATTGTTCATTTCTGCTAACACATAATTTCCACGTGTAGTGCGTTTGACAATCCGGTAAGGACCTTTATATCGGTCCGTAGTTTTGAACTGATTAAGGTTCATCTCTACTGCGGAGTTGCGTACTAGAACTAGATCACCGGGCTCATATGTCTCCAGTTGAATCTTGTGCTGGAAACATCTGAGAAACTGTTCCTTTGATCGGAATCGCGACTGCCGAAGGATGTCAGCGGCATTAGCTAAGTCATGATTACGCTTTTGAAGTTGACGTATGCGTAATGTCAGAAGATCTGTGCTGCTCATACCTGGCTTGAATCCTCGGACTAGGAATGTTGACTCAAACAAGTCGAAGGGAAGAAGAGGTTCAATTCCATGTAAGAGAAAATAGGGTGAATAACCTGTGACGTGTGAAACTGTAATTCGGTCTGTGAATACTGCTATAGGAACATGCTTATGCCAATTGACTGCTCGACCATCAGTTGTCTTCTCACTAGATAGGATGATAGCCTCACGTAGAATAGCATGTCCTCTTTCGACTACTCCGTTGGCATGTTTATTATAGGGAAGAATTCGCACATGAGGTACTGTACCGTTTCGACCGTAGGTTCGCGGCGTGTGACACGTTATGCCGCGAACTTACAGGGAACAAGTTCGTTTTCAGGCACATGGCCCGATTTGGAAGTCCCGCCGCAGGCGGGCCCGAAAAATTGCCGTTTTGAGTAATTTGACCCTGAAATCTAGCCGCGTTACGCGTTATCCTAAGCCGTAAGTTAGGTTCGCACAGCCGGGTGACGCGTTATGTGAATATCCAGTCGGAACGGTACAGTATTCCTAGCCTCTCGACTAGTAATTTAAAAGCTCCCTTTACCTCAGGCCCATTATCTGTCGTGACTTGCTCTACTGCTCCGTATCGGCAATAGATTTCCTCCCAAAAGAATTTCTTAAGAGTCTGAGCATTATTACGGTGAATGGCTCGAGCCTCAAGGACTCCTGTTAGATCATCCTTACAACAGACAATAAAAGAATATCCTCTTGATGCAGGCATATTCATTACATCAATGTATACCTTCTGAAATGGGCGTTGGGGTGTGGACACTGCCGGAGGCATCTCCAGTCGTATTTTGGATCGAAGTTGACAGCGCACACAAGAGGCTAGATGATAGTGAATATCTGCTCTCATGTATGGCCAATAGAAACGTGTACGAAGAAGCTCAAAGACCACTTGTTCTCGCTTATGTCCTAGTTCATCGTGAGCCTGAGTGATGATTTTAATCTTTGTAGACGAGTCTTTAATTACTAACAAGGGGTTTCCCGGCACATTTCGTCTAAACATTCGATCATCTGCAGGATTAATATAGAACTGAGAGGCCTTCTTTAAAAACTGTTTCTTGGCTTGATTGCTCTTGAACCCCTCTATTGGAATTCCAGAGTCTTGAGAAACTTATAGATTTTAAGAAGTGTCTCGTTCTCCTTCCCTTGACGCATGTCGGATGATGAAAAACTTTTTGAATGAAAGACATTAATTTCTCGAAACTTTCTTGCTGATGATTTTTTTGCATGAGGTTGATTCATAATTAGAAAAATACTATCTGCCCAGGAGTCATCATCTTCCTTAAACTCCATGGATGAGGCAGGGTGACGTCTTGAAAGTCCATCTGGACCCTTGAATTCTACTCCGGGAACATGAATAAGCTCAAAGTCAAACATTAAAATTCCCTGAATCCATCGATTCATGGCTGCATTAGGCTGAAGATCAGGTTCATTCAGCATGCCCTTAATATATTTCGCATCAACCTCAATTTTCAGATTTTTAATTCCAAAAATGTGAAGTCGCCAATGTCGCAATGCCCGATATAATCCGTATAATTCTAGTTTAGGCTGTGAGTATCGAGCCTCTCTTTCATTCATAGGTAAGGACCCGTAGCGTGCAGGACGTCGCCTTCCATTTTCATCTTCCTGAGAAAGAATAAATCCTGCAGCAATATGGCTTGTATCTACTGATAGATAGCATGGTCAGTCAGAGGTATAGTCTATGGAATGAAGGGCAGGAGCTGTCGTAATGATTTTCTTGAGTTCATTAAATCTAGCTTGTCGTTCCGGTGTCCATTCGAATTCTGATCCTTTTTGTAATAATTTAGCGATAGGCCGAATAATTTTAGAATAATTTGGAATCCATATTCGGACTGTTCCGCAAATTCCCAGAAATCCGCGGACATCTGTGACTGTCTTTGGAATACTGTACTATTTCGACCTTATCTTCGCATAATGCATAACGGAGGCCTGTGAAATGAAGAGTTGAGGGTACCATAATGCATAACGGCCAAAATCAGGCCCAGGTAAGGCCCAAAAAGGAAATTTTTTGGCGCGGCGGCTATTGCCGCCGCTCCCGCCTGCCCATATAAGGAAATTGGACCCTGAATGAAGAGTAACATCTGTGAAGAGCATGCATAACACATAACGCCCCATGAAGACAAGGTCGAAATAGTACAGTAGGCCAATCCAGAATTTTATTTACTCTATCCTCGTCGGGCTCTCTTCCTTGTGGAGTACATTTCTGTCCTACGATAACAATACTGGGTCTACATATGAAGGTCTTTTTAGCTGAAAATGAAGCTCCGGCACATTTAATTCGATGCATAATTCGGTGAACATCCTGTGCATGTTCCCAGATGAACCGACGAATCCCGGAATTTTCAGCTAAAACCTCAGGTTGCCCTCGACTATCCGGATATATACTGATAGGTCCCTTGATGGGGAGATCATCAATGAATACATTAGCTTTATGAGGAATTTCATCTTTTATAATAAAGGACATACAGTTTTGAAATTCCACCAGGGAATTTGTAATATCCTTGAGGAATGCATGTTAAGCGTAAAAGTCCTAATGGTGTATAGAAAGCAGTCAGATCTCTAGACCGAACATCTAATACTCGTGCATCGAAGCCGGAAT